AGGGCTTTTAATATAATTATATATATATATACATGAGACTAGACGAACCTTAGGGTTGTACGGCAGTGAAGCATCAATGCCAACACGGATGTTGCTGTCTTCGATGATGACACTGCTAGGTTTGCCTTAGCCTGTCTTCCTTCCTCGGTTTGTACTTTTTTCCTACTGGTTCCCGTGCTCAGATGCAGCCACCGGTTACTTCCTGCCGGTCGACATTTTCACAACACTTCTTGATCGTGTTGTAGTGACATCCATCGGCGCTGTTTTTAGATTTTCACGAAATTAATGGGCGAACGCTTGCTTGAATAATGTGATGAACTTTGTACGTGAGAGATAGATGCACAGGAACGATAGGTTGTTTTAAGCGGAGTAGTTGCCCGTTTGTGTGCCGGTACCTAATTTTCTCCAAACTTTCTCTTTTAACCGGGTATCGGTTTTTTTTCTCTTTTCGTCTCTAGCGGTGAAGGCAGCCAAAAATCGGGTAACTCTGATGAGCGTACGCCAACGGCAATGATGCGGGCCGTGACTGTGCATCCAGAGACTTTGCGTGTCATGTACTTCGCCTAAGTCCGTCCCACTCGAGAACATTCCCGGGTCAGCAGGATCACCGCATTTAAACACCGTTGCCACTGAAATTGCCTATATTTATGCTTTAATCTTTTTGTGTTCCCAATACCCCTCTTTCACTGTCGTCGCCTGTTTTCTCCCTCCCTACCGTGCCAAAATCCTCGAACCTCTGATTCATCATCATTTCCGTGACATGATGTAGAAGATCTCTTCACGCTGAGCGTTTCACCTTAACACGAATGATTGCTTTGTATCTTTTTTACTTGATGGATTAGCACATACACATTCGCGCTGCCAAATAAGGTCCCATGTGGCCACTCTTCAAACGTACTTTCTATCCCGTTGTGGCGCCTAGTTTTCTTTGTCATTTGTCCATTCCTCTAAACTCCGGGTAACGGCCCATTTTGTTCACACCAGTTTGCATCTGTAATTCGCACATTGGCCGTCTACCTATAACTCTGTTGTTGTACGTTCCTTTACCCACCCTTGAAATGTTTTTGTGAAGCCCACACTTCCCAAGGAGTGCTGAAGAGTACAGTAAGGTTCTGGGGTGGTCGTCTTGAGTGATTGTCGACACTTTGCACACGCACACCGCACGTTCCCGCCTCGGGCGCACACGAGTTCCGGAACTGATTGGCGTTTGCTTTTTGTGTTACTTGGATTGCGGTAGATTGGACCGTGTTCGCTTTGCGGTGGCTCGCCGTTGTGGTTGCATGTCTCAAGACGATTGAACACAATTTGTGTTGGATGGTGTGGTTAATGGCATCTACTTGCAGTCAGAATACCGCCATTCCTCGGACGTTGACAACTGTATATCGACACCTCGCCATCCACACACTTGTCACGCCGGCCTCTCGCTCGTCTTAGCCTCCTGGTTGTGCTGTTGTTCGACTTTGAATGCTGCCTCACGATATTTTGGTTTTCCGGTCGTTTTACCCTCTCACTACACGATCCTAATCGATCGTTCCGCTTATGCTTTCTTCCGTCCACCGATATTTGTCTATATTGTATTGCAGCACTTCCTTCACTTGTGTAACCACGGGGCTGTGTGCATCCATATCCTATCTTCCGTTGCTCTCAATCGATATTCATGTGTGTGTATGTTATTTTTCTGTGCGACACTTTTTACCGTGGCTGTATTCACCTGTTTTGCTTCTCCTCATGCCTGTAGTATACATCATGCAGTAACCTGTTGGTACATTAATAATCATGTATATCATCCTTTTTTTTACTTCCCCCCTCTCGAACGCTCGGCAGCTCAATACGTTGATATTACAGCATTTGTTAGACTAGTGTACTTTAGACTTTCGTGTTCTAAAGCACCAGTCTAGAAAGCATGGGGTTTTTGGTTAAACCTTGATTAGACCTTGGTTAAACCTTTTGTTTCTCATCTGTTATTGGGTAGAAAAACAATCAGCTAGTTGTCCGGCATGCTACGGGCGGCACTTGAACCCTTCCACTTATCGATTTGTGTCTGATCTCCAAAGTATTGGACGATCCGAGTGGGATCGTTAAGCCGTTGGATTTACAAGTTTCACACGGTGGAAACTGCGACCTAGTCATTCAAGCTGGGTGTATAGGTTTGCCAGTGACTGGAGGCCGGATGCGTACGTCTTGATGTTGTGTGCTAGTCCATGTGTCTGGTGTTGGAGTTCTTGCGTGTCTGGTCGATGCAATGATGTTTCCTGCTCACTGCTAAACATCCAGGCAGCGTTACCATCTGAATTCGAATTTCTACGGCACTTCGTGTAAAGGTGGATACTACTGATGCAGCATGCGAGTAGTATGTCTTCTCATGACGCCGCTTCGCGTCTCTTCCTTTCACTGGTATTTGGAGACAAAATGGCTTGGTCGTCGCCCGTCTACAGCCCACTCGTGTGCACAGTATTTGGGCTGGGGTGGAGTATTGAATGAATATCCGTTCCGAACGGCAGGGTATCACTCACGACCAACGTGCTGGGAATCGTTTTCGTACGAGATGGACATGTTTGGGAGATTTATTTTGCAGATTGTTAAGTTGGTGGCTAGAACCGTGACAGACGTAGTAAGCGAGGATGCCACCGCCAATCTGACCGCAGAGAAATTTACAGATGAGCCTGGTAAGCCGTTTTGTAGCAAGTTACTCAACTGCTGCTTCGATGACCGTCTTAGTCGGGATTCTGTTGAGCACTATGAGAATTGCGTAAACTGTCGTATCGACCCTCTGGATAATATCCGGCGGATCCTATGGTATCCACATGCAAGGGTCCATCGAAATGGCGAATTCCGAAACTTAAAAGCAAATTCAGGCATGAATTGCCCTTCAAGCAATGAATGCCTGTATTTTGGGATTTTTTTTTCACCACGAGGTACCTACAAGAAATTAGTCTTATACTGTTTGTGAAACAGTACTTATCCTGGAGTTGATGGGTCGATTTGCCGGCGAAAAAAACCGAACGCAGTTGTGCTTTCCCCGTATCAAAACACCGCACCCTATTCCATTTCTTTGTAGAACAGGGGGTGTCAGGGTCAATCAGGTGAGAGTCCAGTGAAATGCCACATTGTCACGTTTCCAAATCGTCACAATGAATTATTGCGTATATGAAGTTCTAATCGCACTAGAAACATCCCGGAAAATTGTTCAGGTCCAGACAGCACAATTCAGTGGCTTGTTCCAAGCGCACCCAGATGATACCTTAAGGTCCACCTTGATATTCAACTAATCCGAATTTCTGGTTTCCTGTTGGTTTGCGATCTTAAACAGTGGTACCATTTTACTGGATTGGGTTAGCTGTTGTGTCGGCTGCCTGTTGCGCAACCACCCTATTTGTCGTAAGGGTCTTCGTTCAAGATTTATACCGAGTTTTGTTCTTCACATGGCTTCCAACCTATGATGATTGAAAACTTATCGATCCTCATCACCTGACTAGCCTTGGAACGCCCATTGAAACGGCGGTCAGTCGGTTTTGGGACTTAGAAACTGGTATGGAATGCAATCATTGTGAAATTACCACCCATTGCCTATTCTTAAATGGCAATTGCAACAAGAAACAAGAGTGAACGGAACAGCTTTTCTAACTGTCCAACAAAAACAAGGAGTAACCCAACGGTCGTGCGTTTCTCAGATAGGTTACTGGGGTTTTTCAGACGTGCCGACCAAAAGATTTTACCGTATTTGTTTGCATAAATTACAAATTTAACTAGCCATCGTGGAAAACCTCCTATATACTGATGGTGACTTACGGAGCAGCGGTACTTGGGGAGAAAAACCAACCCTATATAAGGTCCCTCCGTGCTAGGTGATGAGTACGTCTCAGTTACAATTGCATCCTCGTAGTACAACACATGGACCAAGTCAACTTATTCTCTTTTTAATTGTAAACCGAGGTGACTTTCGAATTAGGCCCTAGTTGGAAAGAAGTACAAATGCACTGTACGGGTCAGAAGATAGCAGACAAAAGATTTCACCAATTGTCCCTGGCTGGTTGTAACTTTGGAAGGTTTGTTTCTGTAAGATACCTGATGATTAAGTCATGACAGAGTATGTACTTGCTGTATGAATGGCGAGGGATATTTTGGTCGGTAGTAGATAACCCACAGGAAAAAGAATGTTATTCACACTGAGTACAGATGGTCCTTGCACTTTATTGCGTAGCACACTTTATGGTTAAAGCTTCTTTTTCTACGTCTGTACTTATCGCAAAACATTCGCGTAGACTAGCAGGATGTTAGTCGGTATCCACGTTGAAGGTATCTACGTGGTAATCTAATGCGAGGCGCTGCAGTCCACGATGTTATCCACTCAAGCCAAAGAGTCAGATGAGAGTGAGCCAAAAGAAAATATTAGACTGTCCAGAACTGACGACAACGCTTCCAGGGAGTACCGTAGATCCTCCTGTTAATTTGAGAACCTATTCGCCAGTGACTTGGAAGCTACGAAAAGCTACCACCGGTGAACGACAAGCGATATGGTGGAACGTTGTAAAAGGGAATGAAATAACTCTTTGAAATAGGAAGCCCAAGAGAGAAGCAAATCAACTCCCTTCTCGACGACCTAATGTCACTTCTACCTTGTAGCTTTACAAGCTGGCGTAGTTTGCACGCAGCGTTGGCGTGGTCACGTTGTGATGGTCACTCTTTACTCATTTATTCATTTTCAGTTTGATCATCCTTACCAGGTCAATCACCACAAAAGTGGCTGGTTGAAGGACTCGTTACGTGAGTATCATTCGGCAAAAGCGATTCGCTATTGTACTCGTGGCGCTTTGCACGAAACCACTGTGACTATTTGTAAGTAGCTGTTTCAAATAACTAGGCTTTTGCACGTGATACAGCCAGTTGCTGCAGCACCACTTTGGGCTGAATGATCTTTGGATCCTGCGTGGTTTGAAAAACCGGGTTTCTCTATTGTTGGGCATTCCACTCGCCAACACTTCTGGTGTGGGGACTCTGCATTGGATGCATATGAATTGGCGGGTCTTCCAAGAATGGCAAAAGATCACAGCTCTGGGATGCCTGTTGTCACGCATCACGTTCGCTCCTTTGCCGGAGAAATCCTTGAAGGCATCACTCGGCTGCGCACGTTGGAAACATATGATGGCGGTCTTGACGCACGGGTACGGTCAATTGACCGGATTAGTGGTCGTCCATGTAGCGTGCACATTCAGATGTAAGGAATAGCTGAGTGCTGTGGACACGCAAAAACAAGTGGTTGACTGGATAATGTCCACTGACACCAAAACCGCACGAATGGGTTGGGGTTTCTGTGACTTCACGTATTCTAGGCGGATCAGGTGATCGGACTATTGATTATTTCTAGATCCCTGTTTTCCGTTACAGTGAATATGAATGCAACCAGAGACGATGTGGTTTGATCACCGCAGGTGGGTTGCCACGGAAACTGATGGAGAATTCCAAAGGGTATGGAGCTCTTGTAATTTCAGGAACACAGATAGGCACTTACGCTGATCAATCCTATACCTAGTAATTGTGGTTGCAACCAAACTGTTTGTCTTACTCTGTTTCGAGTAGCAACTTGAAAAAAGTAGAAATAGTATTGCACATACCAATCTACTTATTCTCTCGTTTGCCACTATGAATTCCATATAACACATTCCGTTTAGCTAATCATTCATATATAGCGCAGAATACGACATCAGCCGTCCAAAAACTGCAAGTGAGTTTTGAGACAGCACCGGGGTTCACCATCGCAACAGAGCTTCAAATTACGGCAGCTAATATAAACTAAACTAAACGTTTGAGTGTTGGAGGACTCTTGAATTGATTTAATGACATAAGCAATTATGTACGGAGGGTTATCTGAGCAATAGCTACAAAGGTCACCTGACTTTTGGCCTTGTTTATTGAGAAACGCGTTTGTGGGTGCTAGGCAACCAAGGTAGCCAGCGCACCTGAGGTGAGCATTTCCTGGTTGATGCACAAAAGGCAACTTATCGTGGTGTTTTGCTCACTCAAACAGTTCGTAGGATTTTAAGCCCACTTCACTAGTTTTTTTTTAATTTTTGCACAGAGAGCCCATCGGTTTGTAGAAGTTTGATGAGCCTATTCCAAAGTCTACCGTTTTTGATCGTCTGAAACCAAAACTAAGCCAGAACCGCCAAGACCGGTTACTGGGACATCGGCATTCACAACGACAACAACACCCACAAAGGAGGCGTGATGCAATAGTGTACCGACTGGGTACGTACAGCAAGCTGTTGAATGCGCGGTAGCTGAGTGCGTGAAAAAAAACAAATTTAGCCGAGCTGAGCAATGTACGTAGTAGTGTTCAAACTAAATGCAAGTGATGCGAAGTTCCTTACAAAGGTGTAAATCCTTATCGTTACGAAAAAACCACGCAGATTTAGCTCATGGTAGTATCCTTTAACATCACAGCACTAAGCTGTTAACATGCTATTTGGCTGATTCGCAGTCTACAGTTAGCATCAATTATTTGGAAAACCCGTTCATTTTCTCCGGAACATAACATGATGTTTTACAGTATGTCTGACTTCACTGTGTTGTGTTAGTGGGTAGAAATAAAACACTAGGATTGCCAGCTGCTGGAATTTTCCGTTGGAATTTCTGTAAACCGAGAGTACAAATCGTTTTCACAATATGGTTTGCAGGGACTTAAGCATATCAGGACAGCCAGTACCGTTTTTTACATTTGGGGCGTGAATATTCAGAGCAATCGATATTTTCCGGTTCCGTGGGCTGGTTCGGTGGTACAGCGATCCTGCTTCACAGATGACTCCTGGCAAGGGAGTCTTTTGTAACGGCCGACGTGACGTAACTCGATCGCGTATGCCAACAA